TAAAAAAAAATTCAAAGAAAGTAGCCCAAACATGGGATTTTCCGGCTTCCATACGGAGAGAAAACACTGTGTACACAGGGTACTTGTCCCTCCCAGCCTGCCCTGCTGAAGCCAGGGAGATGCTGGATTTTCGGCGACTGTCCCCTCCAGTGTTCCCAGAGGAAGTGCAAGAAGACACACAGGCCTGGATCCCAAAGCTGCCACCACCTGCAGAAGCTGCTCAGCCCAGAAACTTGCTCCCCAGTGGTCCCCCTTGTGTCTGGCCAGGCCAGTGAGGGACAGCAGACAGCCCTCAGACAGCTCTGGGGTGGGGCAGGGGCGGAGGGATGCCTGCCATTGCAGGAGCTCCTAGTGGTCAAACTCTCCACCGCCTGCCCCCCACTCGAGCAAGACTAGACACCAATGCTAGCTCACACTTTCACAGGGGAGGACAGAGTCCTGTGCCAGGCCCAGTGAGCCAGATCCTGGCAAGACTCACAGCTGCACACCTGCAGGACCAGTCCTGTGCTGGCCCAGGGACTATCACCTGTCATTGCTTCCCCTTCAGAGGCCTGGGGGTGACTCCTCCCCCCATCCCCTAGTTAAGGTCTGTAAACAAGTCAGGATGGCGCCTGGCATTTTGCCAGGGGAATGTTAGAGTTCATAAACAAGTCTGGATGGTGCCTGGCAAAATGCCAGAGGGAGTGGTTTGTGAAGTAACAAAAGTGAGCCATTAAGTGTGGAGATTCCTTATTGGTTGACTGATGTATCTAGTTTATGCTAATTAAGATAAGCTGTGCAAAATGTATAAATACCTCTGTTGTCCTACAATAAACGGCTTCCACTCCTGCTGTATCAATCAACGTACACAAGTTATTCATCACCCCCCAGTTATTTTGCTGCAGGCGGACTGCGGCAATCCCCGCCCTGCCCTGCCCTTTCTCTGCTCCTGTCCTCTGCCCTGCTCCACCCTTAGTGGCACCTGGGGTGCTCTTATTGTGACCCAAGCCACAGCCCGCTTTGTCAGAGATTACCACCCCCCCCACCACCGCCAGGAGGCATGGGCAGCATGTCCCTGTACTGGAGGTACAGGTACCGCCAGTTGAACACTGCATGTGTACCCTAGTCCCCACCTGCTCCGGGCCCCAAGACCAGCCTTCTACCTGCCAGCCAGAGGCTGCTCAGCCCTCCACTGTCCTCGCCCCCCACGTCCTCTGGAGAGGAGCACAACGGGGATGAGGGGGTGCTGCACCAGCTGGACAGGAGGGATCCCTGCCACTGCCATAGCTGCAGACCCTCAAACCCAACGTCTACAACCCTACCCAGATGATCGGGCAACCTCATTGGCTCAGCTGGTGGACCAGCGGGATGTGGCTCTGCAGCCCCAGTGCCAGCACTCCACAGTCGCCCCAGGACCCAGGCACGCACCAAGTTCACAGTTCATGTGCCTATCCCGCCTGCATGGGGGGCCGGGTGAGCACACAGACATTGCACGTGCGTGCATCCCTTTGTGATGCGACCCTGTGTTGACGGTTTTCTGCACGTGCCAGCTTTATCTACTCAGCCTTTAAAAGCTGGGTCCTGGCCAGGGGTCTAACATTGCCCTTTCGCCTCAAGCCGCGCTGGCAGCAGAAGAAGGACCATTTGTGCTCAGCTCTGGAATCCCTGAATCCAGTCATCTTCCCTAACCCTTAACGCTGCCATGGGCACTTCCTGGGGTAAGCTTTGTCCCTCACCCCTGCCCCAGCCCTGGCGGGCACGGACCTACCAGAAGTGTCCCGAATGAAGTCCAGTCACAGAGTCCCCTGACCTTACCTACAGTGGTTGGCCACTCTGGCCAGCCCCGGGGTACAACTCCCAGGTTGTCCTGCTGCCATCCTGGAACTGCACCTCAGCAGTTGAGCAAAGTGCCTCCTGGCTGCTGGTCCCAGGTCCTGGGAGACCTGGACATTACCTCCCCCCTCCACATGCCTGGTCTCCTGAAGATGATGCTGTCAGCTGCACCTTTCACTAACTCCTGCAGCCTAGACCACCCACTCAGCAAACAGATGCCTTGTATGGCACAGGAGCAGAGAGCCACTCCTCTCCAGCTTGTAGCACCATGGTATACCCGAGAGCCCTGCCCAGGGAAGATTGTGCTCAGTGCCCTTGGAGACAGTGGCCAAGGGTGGATGAGCAAGTGGAAGGCCCTGCATATACAGAGCATCAGAGGGGGAGCCCATATCACTGGAGGAGCACAGTATGACTTTAGGCTCCTGGTGGCCCATAGCCACCTGCCTTCCTTTGTGCCCAGGCAGGGAATCCCCTGCACCCAGAGATCCCAAGTCAGAGCTGAGATATACTGGGCCTTCTGTATGAGCTCCTGCTCCAAGAGAAAGGCCATCAGAGCTCCTATAGCTCCACTAGAGGTCTCAAAGCCCTGGAGAGGAGGGCTCCAGGGCCACCCAACAGTAAGCTGCCCCAGGGTACTCTTTATCTCCAGGGATGGCAGCCATTATGAACTCAAACAACAATAAGTGCTGCCGAGGAGGTGGTACACTCAATGGAATATTACTCAGCACTAAAAAATAATAAAATCATGGCATTTGCAGGCAAACGGATGGCATTAAAGCAAATGATGCTAAGTGAAGTTAGCTAATCCCTAAAAAACAAATGCTGAATGTCTTCTCTGATATAAGGGGGGTGACTCAAAATGGGATAGGGAGGAAGAGCATGAGAAGAAGACTACCACTAAATAGGGAAGAGAGGTGGGAGGGAAAAAGAGGGATTCCAGAGTTGCACAGAAGAGGGAAGGAGAACCTCATTGTTATACAGAATACATATATGATGTTGTAATGAGAAAAAGAAAAAAAAAGGATGTCACATTAGATTGGATAGAGAGAAAGGATAGGAGAGGAGGGGAGGAGTAGGGAGGATAGGAAGGGCAGCAGAGTAGAATAGACAATATGATTGATGTATGTACATTCCATGTATGTATTATATATCAAATTGCCCAGGCGCCCCAAGGCACTCTGTGGAGTCCAGTTGAATCGGTGGCTGCAGGGAAAGTGGCGTTTAAATAGGAGCATCCTCATCCAGGGGCGGTGGCGGGATTCTGCTTCCAGGGCAGTGGAGGTGTGGGCAGCCTTTCTGGTGGCCAGGTCGGGACTCCAGTGGCCACAGTGTGGAGCCCTGGCTGTGGCGACGGCGACAGCGGAGGGTAGCGGGCCTCAGAGTCAGAGGACGACAGAGGCTGGCTGGGGTGCCCTGTGCTGTGGCTGTCCCAGGCCACTTGCTCCTGGCAGGGCCTGTCTGCTCAGGATGCAGGACGCGGCAGGCGGGTACCCACGCAGCCTCTGAGGACCTTATGGTGCCCACGCAGGCGACGCCTGGCACCGGCCCTGAGCGCATCGGGAGGCTGCTCGCTCCGCCCCGGGTTCGCCCTGCCCCTCCCTGGGCTGCGGCCTCTGAGAGCAGAGGCAGTGGGGGGTGGGGTTACAAACCCTCCCCCTCAAAGCGCATCCCTGGGGCGGGACGAGAGTGGAGGGCATCGATGGCAGAGGGAATCCCAAGACGTGACGCCCATGGTCTTGGTCTTCTGCCGCCCTTAGACACAGAAATGTACTTTAAAAAAAATAAATTAATTAGCTCTAATGAGTTGTACATAACAGCAGAATTCACTTTGGTTCATTGTACAGAAATGGAGCACAGCTTTTCATTTCTCTGGTAGAACACGAGGTAGAGCTGCACCATATGTGCAATCCTGCACGTACCTAGGGAAATGATATCCGTCTCATTCCACCCTCTTTCCTACCCCATGCTGGTCCCTCCTATCCTTCCCCTTTGCCCCAAGTTCCTCCATTCTTCCCTTGCCCCCCTCCATTATGGATCAGCATCCACTTATCAGGGAGAACATTCAGCCTGTTGTTTTGGGGGATTAGCTTTTTTTCACTTACATAATATTCTCCAACTCCATCCACTTACCTGCAAGTGTCATAATTTTATTCTCTTTTAAAGCTAAGATTCCATTGTGTACATATACCACATTTTCTTTATCGATTTAGCTCTTGAAGGACTTCTAGGTTGGTTCCACAGCTCAAGTTCCAGAGTGACTTGAGCTGCTATAAATATTGATGTGGCTGCATCATTTTAGTATGCTGATTTTAAGTCTTTTGGTTATAGACTGAGGAGTGGAATTGCTCGGTCAAATGGAGGTTCCATTCCATGTTTTTTGAGGAAGCTCCATACTGCTTTCCAGAGTGGTTGCACCAATTTGCAATGCCACTAGTAATGTATGAGTATACCTTTTCCCCCCACATCCTCACCAACACTTATTGTTGCTTGTATTCTTGTTAACTGCCATTCTGGCTGGAGTAAGATGGTCTTAGAGTAGTTTTGATTTGCATTTCTCTAATTTCTGGTGAAGTTGAACATATTTTCATATATTTGTTGATCAACTGTGTATCTTCTTCTGTGAAGTGTCTGTTCATTTCCTTAGCCCATTTATTGATTGGGTTATTTATTCTTTGGGTGTTGAAGTTTTTGAGTTTTTTATATATCCTAGAAATCAGTGTTTTATCTAGTGTGTGTGTAGTAAAGATGTTCTCCCACTCTGTGAGCTCTTTCTTCATATTATTGTTTCCTTTGCTGAGAAGAAGCTTTTAAGTTTGAATCCATCCCATTATTAATTCTTTATTTTATTTCTTGCTCTTTACAAGTCTTGTTAAAGAAGTCAAGACCCAATCCAACATGAAGATTTGGGCCTGCTTTTTCTTCTATTAAGTACAGGGTCTCTGGTCTAATTTCTAGGTCCTTGATCTACTTTGAGTTTTGTGCAAGGTGAGAGGTCGTGGTTTAATTTCAGTCTGCTACATATGGATTTACAGTCTCCCCAGCACCATTTGTTGAAGAGGCTATCATTTAGCTAATGTATGTTTTCGGCACCTTTGTCAAGAATGAGATAACTACATTTATGTGGGTTTTTCTCTGTATCTTCTATTTTGTACCATTGGTCTACATGTCTGTTTTGGTGCTAATAGCTGCCGTTTTTGTTACTACAGATCTGCAGTATAATTTAAGGTTTGCTATTGTGATGTCTCCTACTTCACTCTTCTTGCTAAGGATTGCTTTGTGTCAATAAGGATTTCTCTGTGTCTATTTTTCCAAATGAATTTCATGATTGCTTTTTCTATTTCTATGAGGAATGTTATTGGGATTTTAATTGGAATCGCATTAAATCTGTATAAAGGCTTTTGGTAGTGTGGCCATTTTGACAATATTTATTCCATGAGGGAGGAATTGGAAATCAGGTACCTGCTCAAAAGGCGACGGATCCGATAGCCACGCCCACCCAAAATGGTGAGGAATGCTTTCCAAGATGTAGTCGGTGTGCTTCCAGAGCCGGGGTGTCTGGTGATGTCAGGGGAACCAATGGCCTTGTGCTGTGGGGAGGTAGCCTGAGTGACCTGCGTGGGAGGGGAGCGGAGTCTCAGCCGTCTGCAGATGTGTTGGTAGGTGGTTCTGCTAAGGCTCTGGCCGCATCTTAAGTGATCTGGAACTTTGGCTTTGGGTCCTGCTCGGACACTGAGGCTCGGAGCCCTGCGCGGGGTCACAGCGCTGGTCATTTCTGTAGAGAGAAGCTGTACAGGGGCCTCTAACACTCTCAGAGATGCAGAATTCCTACTAGGAGAGATCTGGATCACAGAGCAACACAGATGCTGCTTCCCTCTGGTCCACCATCTTGAAGCTCTTTTCAATTTCTTTAGTTTTCATTGTATATAGATCTTTCATCTCTTTTGTTAAATTGATTCCCAAATATTTCATTTTCGAGGCTATTGTGAATGGGATAGTTTTCCTAATTTCTCTCTCAGAGGGTTCATCACTAATATATAGAAATGCATTTGATTTATGGATATTGATTTCATATCCTGTGACATTGCTGAATTTGTTAATATTAGAAGTTTTCTGGTGGAGTTTTTTTTTTGCATCCTCTAAGTGTAGAATCACGTCATCAGCAAATAGGGATAGTTTGAGTTCTTCTTCCCCTATTCCTATCCCTTTAATTTCTTTCATCTACAGCTCTGTCGTGCAGTCTAAGCTGTAGTGGAGTTTAGACAGCAGTATAGTTTAAACTCTGGCTAGAGTATCAGGGACTATGTAGAGTAGAAGGTGAGAGAGGGCATCCTTGTCCTGTTCCAGTTCTGAGAGGAAACGCTTCCAATCAGAAATGCACTTTGAGGATGAAGAGGTCCTAGTTCCTCTGCTCTCTCCCCCCACAGCCCAGGTGGGATGTCTCTTGGGAAGGTGGGGGTCCTCTCCCAAGGCTGCCCCACCTGACAGATGGCCTAGTTCCCCTGCAGAGGCCACATCGGGGATGGGGCGAGCAGCCACCCAGCGGGCTCATGGCCAGTGCCAGGCGAGGCAGGTGTGGACAGCCTAAGGTCCTCAGCAGCTGCCTGGGTATTGCCACCTCCCACCTGCTGCTTCCTGAACAGGCTGCTCAGCCTGGACCAAGACCCAGGGCCTGGAGCAGCCACTGCAGAGGCCATTCCAGCCTCTCATCGCCCTTCCACTCTGAGGCTCACTGCCCTGCGCCCTCGCTGCCGCCCCAGCCTGGAGCTCTTCACTGTAGCCACCGGACTCCCCACATGGTCGCCAGATGCCACTGCAGCAGGATTCCTGTTACCCCAGCAAGATGAAGATGCTCACCACAGGACGCCTCTGTGTCCTCAGCCCCGCTTCCGGACTCTACTGGTGCCGCCGCCACAGTCCAGCAACCAAACTCTCAAACCCCAGCTGGACTGTGATGCTGCCCAACAAGGGCCCAACGTCAATGCCCTTCACCCCCCGCCATGATGTCTGACTCCAGTGCCCCATGCCGGCTCCCGGATGAAGCTGCATGTTGCTGCTGCCACCACCAGACTCCATCATGGATGCAAGACAGCGATACTCGGCACTGGATGCCCACTTCACCCACTGCAGCCAGACTCCTGTGGCACTGCAGGACAGAAATGATCATGGCAACATCCCTCTGTTGTCACCACGGTTACTTCTGGACTCTTCTGCTGCCACCGCCACTGTGAGTATGCAGCAAGGGATCTCCCAAACTGCAGCTGGATGCCAACACCTTGGCATATGCCACCCCCATGGCAACTGTCAACTCCGGACCTCCCTCGCCTGATGCCCTACACCTGAAGCAGCTACATGTTGCTGCTGCTTCCACCAGATGCTACCCACTCCATGATGCCTCTTCAGCGACTCCATCCCAAAGATGCTGCTGTGCTGCCCAAGACCACAGAAGCTGGGAAGTTGGGCAGTCTCCATCCCAGTCGCCTCATCAGTGCCCACCGCTTGCCGCCTGCCTTTCCTCCCCCAGGACCACCCACCAGTCCTTCTGGGCCCTTGAGCAGGAGTTGTGCTAACTCAGGGAACTCATCCAAGGAAAACAAGTGAGTACTTCAAACAAAGGTTGCAGTCCTCAGAGCAGGCAGTGGGCGGGGCTAGGTGGGTCCAGCCTGCTGGTGAGGGGGCAGGGGTGGAGCTACTGGCCTCCTCTGGACCTTGACCCTGTGGGGCAAGCTGGACAGGGATCTCTGGCTGCTCTGGGAGTCCAGCCTGGAAGCAGCTTCCTACCTCACCCTCACACTCCTCTCTGAAGGGGACTCTGGATTCCAGAGAAAGCCATCTGGGCTCTTGGGCTCTGGGCAGTGGTATGAGCCAGACTGGACAGACACCACCCACCTGGACTTGGGGAAAAGCCCCCTCTTGGGAAAATGCCCTCCTAGATCTACCAAACTTAGCCTGACATTGGCTTCTTCCGTGAGATTATCAAGAAAGGAAAAATAAGTTACCTAGTTTTGTCTTGCAAAGGGTAGTGTGGGGAGAGGCAAAGGCATCAGAGTTGGTAGAGCTGAATTCACATCCCTTTTAACTGGGTGACCTTGTCCAGGGTCCAGAACTAGGTACAACCTTGGTTTTGCATCTGGTAAAACAAAGATGGTGAGGATGATAAGCTATCACCATCTGTCGTAGCTGGAGACCTAATGCGCGGTTCATAAATCTGACTATTCCAATAACTTAAGAAAATGACAAAGAAGGCACACAACCACACAGAAGTACCTTTTCAATAATCTGGGGGTGGAAAGACATAGAGCCACTGGAATTCTTTATTCTTCCATAGGAGACACACAAGGGGAGTTTCCATAGAACATTTTATCCCAAAAAGGGCAAAGGGGTCGGAATACAAGGGAACAGATGAGTGTAACTCAACCCCAGTGGGTGATGCCTACACCTGGAGCCATGCCTTGTTATCTGAGCTGGGGTGACGCCCACATTACTGCAACCTGGCACTGCCCTGCCAGACTGACTGCAATAATTGTTCAGAACCCGGTGCATCAGGACTTAAAGGCGTCCGAATCCAAGGCAGCTCCCGACAATAAGCCATGGGCAAATCAACTTGTTCTGCACTACCTCACCTTGGAAGTCAGGTAGGCATTCAGCAATATTTCCATGCAAAAATATATTCTCAGACTAAAGGTGACACACCTAGAAGTGCACCTTTGGATGACAACTGACCTGTGAGGTAGGGAGTTGAAATTTACATCATGTTTTTAGATGAAATAATAATATATGGAAGATCATAAAGCAAAGCATGAAATGTTGGGTCAGGCTCATGGAATTAAAAGCTGTTTTCAAATTTGTTTAAAGTTACATTGAGATAAATCTATGTAGTTCAAATCTTCCAGGATATCATCCCCCACCTCTGCCGCACACACAGGGAGCAGTGTCCACAACTTTTTTACTCCTCTTTACAGTATCACCAAATGTGTGTGTGTGTGTGTGTGTGTGTGTGTATACACACACACACACACACATATATATATACTCGCACACATATACATAGTGTATTATGTAATATTTTGTTCTTTTTGGTTTGTTTTTAGACTGTCTGAAATAGAATCTCATATACATTCTTTTGCTCCTCTTCAGCTGACCATCAGGAAGAAGGAAACACCAGAGAAGCTTGAGGATCAGAAGGACACCAGCCCTGCTCTGGTCACTCTGGAAGCTGGCTAACCTCCACACACCAAAGTTGAGGAAACAGCAGCCCTGCTTCAGCCACTTGAGGGCTGGCTGATCAATGCAAGGAGGAAAATAAACTAAGCAACAGGACAAATAGAGTGTTTCATCCTGTAAGAGGGCTCTCATACTGTGGTGCATTGCCACCCCTTCCTTCTGTCATACACACAGTCCTCTCCTTGGTCTTTCCTACAGGACTGACAACAACCAGACACACAGCTAACCCATATGGGGGTGGGGTAAGGGAAGATTGGAGGGACTTTGGATTGGGCAGAGGGGTGTGTGGGAGGGGAGGGGATATGGGAGTGGGAAGGATGGTGGAATGAGGTGGATTTTATTAATCTATGTACATGTATGATTGCAGGAACGGGGTAACTGTGCATTGTGTCTAACCAGAGAAATGAAAAGTTGCCTCCATTTGTGTTTAATAGTCAAAATGCATTCTGCTGTTATATATAACTAATTGAAAAAAATTCATAAAGGTCTAAGGCTTAAAAGGAAGTTTAGACACTTTAATGGTCATAAAAATATGTACACTTTTCTTATATAAAATTTAAACTTATTAATTAAATTGAAAAAAAACCCAACTAGCACATGTACTAGTTCAAACCTGAAAGGGTATTAAGGCTTAGGAACCAAGCTCACTATTTGGAGGATGGTTTTTCTATTCTTGGATTCAAAAGTTTAATTGACATAGTATGGATTATGCTATTGTTTATTGCTTTCATGTTTGTCTCCCCTTTACAATGAAACTATTGTGTCAACTATAGAAGAAGCTGTTAGAGAGGGGGGGGCTGGGGGAGGGAAACACGGAGGGAGAAATTAAGATTATGGCATTATATAAAATTTTAAGCCTAGAAGATGATGTTTTTTGATTTAAAGGGTTAAATAATGAGCATCAGAGGGGGTAACGATGTACCATAAATACTCCAAATGATGTAGTGTCCAAAAGATCCCCACCTTAATTGTAATATATAAGCCTTTCTCCTAGTAAACAAGATTTTTTTTTGGAAGTCAACAGGATTTCTAGAGAGCTCATTGTGGTTTAGTTCCTCTTTATTGTAAAGGTCAGGTTTCTCTTTTAGGTCTGCAGGGCTGGGGTTGTGGCTCAGTGGTAGAACACTTACCTAGCAGGTGTGAGGCACTGGGTTTGATTCTTACACCACGTAAAAATAAAATAAGGTATTGTGCCCATCTATAACTAAAAAAAAAAAAAAAGTTATGTAATCAAACTTGTTGATGTACAAAAGTTACTCTTTCTCTTTTCTTAGTAAAATCTTGTGAAACCTCTGTCCAATCTAAAAACATGGAATAAAATGTAACTATTATGTTAACCATTGTGTTGTATAACCACTCACTGAATATAAATCCCAGATAACTTCCATACCTGGGATCCAGGGATTTTTTGGCATTAGCCCCTCTGGATTACACCAGTTTAAATAAACCTTGTTCCTGCACATTTCCAGCTTCCTCTGTCCTACATTAATACCTGCTTGAAATGCTAGAATGTCCCCATTCTTGAAGGACACTCAGAGACAGTTTCTCTGACTCTGCCACAGTATGAATTGTATCCAAAGATATTAATCACAAAAAACTAAAGGGAGATTACACTATAGTGACCTCCTGGGGGGAGATTCAGTGTTGCATGATGAAACTTGTATACATATATTGAATTGCTATGATATACCCTGTAAAGATATAGAAATGATACATCTGAATAAACATGTTTTGTGAGAAATTGAATGTCATGTTTGCATTTGGGGTTGTTTCTAATATTATGCTGTAATAATATTTAATGATTTTTTTAAAATCTGAAAAAGACATCAGAATTTTGTACAGTAACATTGTTAGTAAAGGGGATATTTTGGTGATTAGAATTCATGCTTTCCTGTTTTTAAAAGTTTACATGTTGAATTAAAGCTTTGCAGCAGACATCAACTCCATTAGAACCTCAGTCTGGTGAAGCCAGAGCGTGGTGCCTGACCAGGGAAGTGCCCATGTGTGCCTGGTTCTTTGACACCCAGTAGATAGGAGCCCTGACCCAGGGGGGTGGGACCTGCATTTCAGCCCCCTTACTTGCTCATACTGGGGCACCTTGACTGCTGTGCTCTGCTTTAATCTCTCATCGGTGAGAATATTTGCCCAATGTGCCATGGGGCTATTGAAGATCTGTGATGAAATTTATGAAGTTTAACGAAGTCTGGCTGGTCTATAGCTGAGGAGTGGGGCACCCTGCCAAAGCTGCCTATGTGACTGCCCCCTCCCTCTACCTGCTTTCCTGTGTGGTCCCTATGGAAGGCAGGGGGACTGCTGTTCATCTGCCATGCAGCCTGCCAGTTTCAAAGAGTGGGAGATGTTAGGTAGCAGTGAGTAGTGAGAAATGAAATGCAAACCAATAACAGGGCAAGGTCATGGGTTTTCCTTGAGTTACTTTTAAGGTTTTCTTTAAATTAATTTTAAGGCAAGTAGGTACTCAGATAATGCAGGAAAACAACAAGTATACAAATAAAGAGAACAAAAGGAGCCAATTAAGAAATATATCAAAGGTTTAATGGGGGCTATTCCTAACTCTTGACAGGGTCAGTTGAGGTCATTGTAAAGCTAGAATCGATGGCCACAGGTGTCCCAATTCTCACATTAACATAGGATTGACTCCTAAATAACACTCCCCTCCCTAGGTGGACACCATGATAGTTCTGGAAAGGACCAACTAGGGGCCAAAACTCTACCACCTGACATGAAGGAGTTGAACCCTGATTGGCAAAGAGTGCTGAAGGTGGGCCCCAGTTCTCAGGGCACCCCTAAAACACCAATCCATTTGGAGACAGCACTGTTCCATTTGTCCTTCTCTGCTGGGAGAGGACCCACTCTCTCAGGAGTGCTCTTTGTTTGAGCCTTACTCTACTTTTACTTATAATGAAGCTCTCCTGCATGGCTTTTTGGGTCTGCCTTTATTTTTTCTTTCTTTGGAACCCGAGCACTGAGGTTTGGAGCTTCCACTCCCCACTCTCCTGGAGTCCCTTGTCAACCCTAATGACTTGCATCTTGGTGTACCATTGCAGTAACAAGAGTCTCTTATTTGGAGCTAAAGTTTTATGGCAATGACTGAGGCAGCCTATGAATCCATGAGTGGTGACAGTAGCAGAAGCTTTATGAATAGGGAAAGAACATTTACACTTGGTAGTAGGACTTTGTGTTTAGGGGGAAAGATGTGAGGATATGGGGGTTAGTATACCTTAGCTACTTTGGAGGAGAGCTCTAATGAAGGGGGATATTAACAGGAGAGTAGACAGGAGTATTGGGGGGGGGTAGGTAAGTACTTAGGAGGACTATAAAGAGCCTAGGAACATTCATCTATTTGCATTTAGTAAATTATATGTAGTAGAAGTAGTAATGCCTGGGAGGTTGGGAGGGGAAGAAAAGGAGGGAGAAAAGTACAAAGAAAAGAAGAAAGAGAAAAGAAAAAGGGAAGAAAAAAGAAAGAAAAAAAAATGCACTCTTAGAGTTCTCTTCTCTTCCAGTAGGTGCCCTCGGGATGTAGGAAGCAATCTGTGTGGGGTGGCTCTCTCTCCCCTGCTGGGTGTCTCTCCAATCCCAGTCTCTTTGGGTTGCTCCCGGTCTTTAGCTCCCTCATTTCTGCCCGCCAGGCCCCACTTACTGGGCCTCCCCTCCACAGCTCTAGTTTCACTCTGGGCGATGCAGTGCCCTGGCCGCCCTGCACTCCTGAACACCTGGGCGCTCTCTTGGTTTGTTAGTCACCCAGTCATCATGGCTGTGGAGAGAGGGAGCTGGAAACCGGCAACCTGTTCTGACTTATTCCCTCTGATAGCCACACCCATCCAGAGCTGGCAAGAAAGGTTTTGGTTATCACCGCAGGAGGGAAGGGGAACTGGAGATCAGGCACCTTTTCAGTTTCACAGGGCTCTGATATTCACGCCCTCGTGAGGGACTCGAATTTTCTAGCGTCTGGATTGCATTTGTGACCATCTGTTGTTTAAAATCCTCTCAGACTCCATGAAGATTAAATTCGCTGAATATTCTTTTTTTTTTTTGATTTTTAATTAAGCTTTTATTTCAGGTTAACTTCAGTTTTATAGAAAAAATTGAAAGCGGAGAAAGTTCCTGTCTATCCTTCATTTCACATTCGTCCATGTTAATATCTTACATAAAGTTGTGGCACTTGTCAAAACTAAGAGGTTAGCACTGGTAAATTATCATAAACTATAACTCAGACTGTTGTTTGGAATTTCATGTTTCTTCACCTTTTTTCTGTTCTAGTATCCCCTTGCAGATGCCACAATGTATTTAGTCACCATGTCTCCTGAGTGCCCTCTGTACTGAGCCAGTTTCTCACTCTTTTTTTCCCATCCCCTGACAATTTTGAAGACTACTGGTAAGGAAGAATTTTACAGAGTGCACCTAAAATTAGATTTTTCTGGTACTTTTTTCGCTGAATATTCTTGATAAAACAGCAATTGGCCATTCTGAACTCACACCCCAGGCAAGAGACACCTGGTGGGTGGAGAACGTGCTGGTTTGCAGGTGGCCCTGTGGCTTCTCTCCAAACACATGTGGAATGTGTATTTACTCCTGAGAACCACCAGTTGCTGTCGTCCATTCTATTGCTGAGTCAGATGGTAACCAAGTTATGTGACTTTTTCTTGATAATTCAGAGACCAGGGCTGTCCCAAAGATGGTGTACTCAAGCACCCAGGAGGAACTGTCATTTAGGGAAGGGAAGCATACACAGAGCCTCTGGTGCTTTTAGATGCAGGATTTTTTTTGTTATTATCTTCTGGTGCAGGATCTTGACTTCTGAAATTCTCCAACTCTTAAATCTAATGTAAATCTTAGCAAAGATTGAATGACCTGGGACATCATTTGTATAAAAGGCACCTATGTAAATCTCACTGTGGGCTGTCTGCTGAGGTTGGAGGGCAGGTCCGGTGCAGGTCCTGGTGTGGCAGCCACATTGTGCCCACCTAGGTGTTGCTCTTTGTCTTCTTGGCTTCCTCCTGCTGCCAGGTAGGGGCCTGCTCTAATTGTATACAGTAGCTGCCCCTCTTGTGTTTTTGTTCGCTATGCCTGGGTGC